CCTGGACCCAGCAATACAAAACAAATAAATCAAGGTGCCTGAATTCAGTTGCCAAAAAAATAAAAAATCTTTCTCAACAAGAAATCACCTCTATGGTAACGTTGAAGGTAAGGGAAGATAAGAAAACAATTTATGGATGTGGTAAGTTTAATGGTCAACAGGTTGCATTGGAGAAATAATTGAGAATAGAAGTGAAAAGTGTATATGTAACCAAGATGAGAAGGAATCTCAAAGGATGGTTTCTCGTTTTTAATGGAGTGGTTTGGTAAAGGTGGTAAACAGATGATTTGCATGCCAGAAGGAAAAAAGAAAAGTGGATGGAAGGCCATGTTGGAGATGTTCCAGAGGTTTTTACCAAGGAATGAAGGAATCAAGGGTATTGAATATTCAGGGAAGAAGCTAAAAGAGAGGAACGTATGGTAGAAAAAGTGCTGAAAAAAGCATAAATTGCGAATTTCCCATGGTAAGTATGAAAGAAGCCCCAAGAGTGTGGCTATTTGCTGGGAGGTATGGAAGGAGAGAAATAAAAGAATGTTTGAAGGGGAGATGAAAAGCAATGAAGAGTTAGGGGTGATCATCAGTTCAAAGATAATTAGTTGGGTTTTGATCTTTCCAGAATTTGGAATGCCATAGAAAAGAAGACTTTGGTTCAGAATTCTGGTGTACTTTGAATGTTTGATCATGGTATTTTGGTATAGTGGTTTTTTATTGTCCTTTTTGGGATCAAGATTTATATGTTGGTTGGTGACACCTTGTCACCGAAGATGGTGTACTCTGCTTTATTTTTTAATAAATTTTCTTCTTTATTTATCTTCAAAAATACCCCTAAGTGTGTTGCTTCATGGAGAAAAGGAAAGTGGGAAAAGATGATAGTGATTTCAGCCAAAAAATGAAGTCAAAGCTCAAAAACCTATTCTCTAGACGATTTGAGAGGAAATTGACATTAAGGCCATGACAATACTTATGCCCTTCCATTGAAACATAGCCATAATGGATGTTGGAGAGAAACATATTAATCTTCAAATAGTGAATATGGCGGAGGAAGTAATTATGATTGAGAGGTGGGTTTGATTTAAAAGGTGCACTAGCGAGGCACATTTTAAGGTCTGTGGCTTGCCTAGGCCTCAGTGTAGATTTTTCAAAAAGCATGGACCTAAATATGCCTTGCACTTCAGCCCAGGGATGTGCCTTCTTGATATTTACGCATTTTTCTTTTTTTTTTTTGGAGCCTATCTCCTATGGACCACAACTTTGGGTTTGATTTAAAAGGTGCACTAGCGAGGCACATTTTAAGGTCTGTGGCTTGCCTAGGCCTCAGTGTAGATTTTTCAAAAAGCATGGGCCTAATATGCCTTGCACTTCAGCCCAGGGATGTGCCTTCTTGATATTTGCGCATTTTTTTGTTTTTTTTTTTTTTGAGCCTATCTCCTATGGACCACAACCTAGGTTTTGGAAGAAAACAACAAAGAAAAATTAAAGAAAAGAGAAGAGCAGAAGGGACGAAGAAGAGAAGAGCAGAGACTCCTATGTTGTTGGAAGAAAACAACAAAGGCATTTTGCATGTCTTTTGGCCCAATTACAAGTCACCTCTACCCCTTGTAACAACTTAACAACTTTCCTCTTCTCATAAGTGTGGCACCACCATCCATCTTCCTCTTTTGGAGCTAGCTAATTACAAGCTTCAAATCACCTTCAATTAACAACTTCTGATATTAAGCTCTTTAACCTTTTGAATTCCTTCCATAATCACCATAATTTCAGCTCTTAATGTGTCCCCAACTCCAATTGGACCTGAGTAGAGTGCAATGATATTTCCCTCTTCATTCCTGAAGACTCCTATGCCAGATGGACCTGGATTGCCTTCATCACTACCATCAAAGTTGAGCATAATGAAGCCACATGTGGGTGGGGACCAATCAGGCCTAACCACCTCCTTGCATTTGATTGTGACCATGTTCACAGTTGTGACTTCTTGCATCTAATATAATAGTGGGCCAATAATTACCCTATTCTTCTAAACACCTACCAATTCTAGGACATCCTTATGCACATTACATTCTTCTGCATGTACCTCTTGCAAGGTACGAAGAGCTTCATCTTTTTTTTTTTTTTTGATAGGAAACGGTAACTTTCATTAGATAATTAATAAGATAACAGGCTTACCACCCACAAAAATGATGGAAAAAGAAAACCAAAAGCTTACAAACAGGCCCAAAACGAAGAGCTTCATCTTTGGATAAGCACTTCAGCAAAATTCCATTGATGGATCCTATACAATGTACCATTTATATATCTAAAGTGCAAAGCTTGACGTTGTATACTTGCACTTCTTGGATCTATTACAATAAGCCCATATTGTAAATAATTAATTACAGACACTTTCCTATCTGAAGTTTCTTCTTGTTGAATCGTGACAAAATTCACAAATTCTACCTTTTGCTCTTTTTCACTTACAAGAGGAAGGGTGTGCCTTTGACTAATGGTAATTTGCAATTCTCTTTGCTTTGATAGAGTTAGAGATGCAACCAATTAGGCTAAAGCATCTGCTTTATCATTTTCTGACCTTGGCACATGGTTTGTGGAAATGTTGGTGAAGTGAGACATAAGTTGTTGGCTTTACTATAATAAGTGATTAGATTCAAATTTTTAACTCCTTATATTTCCTTAATTGGCTAATAACCAATTGAGAATCTACAAACACTTGTAAGTGTTCGAGATTAATTTCTTGTTCCATTTCCTTGCCAATTATAATTGCTTCATATTCAATAGTGTTATTTGAACATAATGATGTAAGCAAGAAGGAATAGGGAATCAATTCCCCTGATGGTGTGATAAATATGATGGTTGTGCCTGCACCTGGTTTTGTAGAGGCTCCATCAAAATAGAGTTGCCATGGTTTTGTAGTCTCTATGCATAAGGCTCTTGTCTGGGAGATCTTTTGATAATTCCATAGTATCGGGCACAGGGTGAGCTGCCAAAAGTTAGCTATTGCTTGACCTTTAACCGCCTTTAAAGGCATATCTTTTATTTCAAACTCTGAAAG